TCGGCTGCGCCGGCTGCGCCGAACCCCCCAAGCAAGATGCAGCGATAAAAAGCCCTTAGAAGTGGACTTCTTTGCTTTATATCTTTTAAAAAAGAAAAATAAACAAACGGTAAATAAATAAGAAAGAAATGTTGAATTTAGATCCTTATAAAGTGCCGCGAACTTTATAAGGATCCCACAGCGGGAGCGAAACCTGCGGCGGAGTCAGGCTATTTTCCGCGAAGCCCCCCGCGAGCTTCTTTTGTCTTTGCCTTCTTTCTTTGTTTTTAAAATCTTATTTTTGAATTTTAATCCTTTAAAAGGTGCATTTCTTGGGACGAACTCCAGCAGAAGCTCCCCCGCAGCAGCAGCGGCTGGGGCTGCGGCTGCAGCAGCAGCAAGCCGCGGGGCCCCATGGGGCTGCTGGCTGGAGCCCCACGCAGGAATTGGCTTTTGTTTGTCTTTTGCAAAGGCTCAAAAGCTTTAAATAAATACATTTAGGGGCAAAGAAGACGCAATGAAAACAGCGGCAGTCTGCTGCCCTGCTTAGAGCGCCGTTTTCCCACTGCTTCCCCACAGCTGCTGCTGCTGCTGCTGCTGCTCTCCCGCAGCTTCTGCTCCCGCGAAGCCTTTTCTCCTCCTGCCTCCACTTCTTTTGCTTCTTTTATTATTTTATTTATTTTATTAATTCTTTTCAGTAAAATGGCTACTGAAAAGGAAGTTAATCCCAAAGCCTACCCCCTCGCCTCCTCCGAGCTCACGAACTCCATACTAGACACAGTGCAGCAAGCCTGCAGCTACAAGCAGCTAAAGAAGGGCGCCAACGAAGGTAAGATTTGGTCTGCGTCTTTCTAGCTTTGCTGCTGCTGCTGCAGCAGCAGCAGCAGCGGCAGCGCCAGCAGCAGCGGGGACGGAGGTGCGTGCTGCTGCTGCTGCTGTGGGCGGCTGCGCAGCAACTAAGGGCCTCAACAGAGGTATTGCGGAGCTGGTGGTTCTTGCTGCGGACGCGGAGCCCCTGGAGATTTTGCTGCACCTTCCTCTGGTCTGTGAAGACAAGGTATGCTGCTGCTGCTGCTGCTGCTGCCGCCGCTGCCGCTGCTGCCGCTGCTGCCGCTGCCGCTCTCCCGCCCTGCCGCCGCCGCCCCTCGCACCCACCCCACCCCCGCCTTCGCTGCTGCTGCTGCTGCTGCTGCTGCTGCTGCTGCTGCTGCAGAATGTGCCGTACGTGTTTGTGGAGTCGAAAATAGCCCTGGGCCGCGCCTGCGGGGTTTCGCGGCCAGTAATCGCCTGCTGCATCACCAGCAAAGACGGCAGCGCTTTAAACCCCCAAATCGCCTCACTCAAAAACAGCATCGAAGCCATGCTCATCTAAACGCTGCTGCTGCTGCTGCTGCTGCTGCTGCTGCAGTGGATGCGGCGGGTGCAGCAGCTGCTGCTGCAGTGGCCGCGGCGGCGGCGGTGGCTGCGGTTGCTGCTGCGGTTGCTGCAGGTGCGGCTGCAGCCGTGCAGCGCAGGCGGCTGGGGAGCAGCGGCAGCAGCAGCAGCAGCTGCTGCTGCTGCTGCTGCTCGAGAATGTTTGCTATTCGAGGGAGGAACTGCGGCCCTGTGCTGCAGCATCTGCTGCAGCGGCTGCTGCTGCATTTGCTACAGCTGCTGCTGCTGCAGCTGCAGTAGCAAACGTGGGCACCCGCTGCAGGACAGCAGATGCAGCAAAGGTATTGTCTCTCTTTGGGCTGCTGCTGCAGCAGCAGCAGCAGCAGCAACTCATTTGATTTGGAGGAGCCAAAACTCAAAAGCTTTTGTCTTATCTCGTCAGAGGCTGTCGATATCCATAGGGGTTGTGCTCCAGGGTTTAGGGTTTAGGGTTGAGGGTTTGTCCTGCAGGGTTTAGGGTTTAGGGTTTCCCCTCCAGGGCTTAAGGTTTGGAGGTTACCGTCTAGGGTTTAGGGTTTACGGTCTACTGTATACTCTCTAGGGCGTGGCCATCTAGGGGTTGGAGTTCAAATAAGGGTTTACACTCTCTAGGGTTTAGGGTTTACAACCTAGGGTTTAGGGTTTACAGCCTGGGGTTTTACCATTTAGGGTCTAGAGTTTAATTTCTAGGGTTTAGGGTCTACTCCGTACTCCTTAGGGTTTAGAAACACTCACTAGGGTTTAGTCTAACGCTCTAGGGTTTAGGGTTTAGGGTTTACTGTAGCGTTAAGTGTTTAGGGTTTGGTCTGCTGAAGCCAAAGACAGTCTCCTTTCCCCGATTGAAATCGAGGGTTTAGGGTTTAGGGTTTAGGGGGTCTAGGGTTGCTGCTGAGTCCATTGGGGTGCAGTTGCACCCATGCCACTAGTGCCTGCTGCTGCTGCTGAAGCACCAGATGCTGCTGCTGCTGCTGCAGCAGGCTCATCAGTGTCGAAGCAGCAGCAGCGGCTAGCTGCAGCAGCTGCAGCAGCTGCAGCAGCGTGGCGCAACAAGTAGGCTGCTGCAGCAGCAGCAGCAAACTGCTGCTGCCGACCCTCTGCTGCAGCGCAGCAAGGTAGCCCCTTGAGGCCCTTCTCTTAGCTTCGGTGCGTACAAATAAGGCATTAATTAGGATGGCAAACTTTGTGTGTGGCAGCAGCAGCAGCAGCAGCAGCAACAGCAGCAGCAGCTGCTGCTGCTGCTGCTGCGTCGTGGCAGCTGCAGCAGGTGCTGCTGCTGCTCGTCCCTCCTATGGAGCAGCAGCTCGTGCCGCCGCTGCTGCGCGTCCCTCCTGGGCAGCAGCAGCAGCGGCTGCTGCTGCTGCTTCTGCTTCTGCTGCGCTCAGTTCTGCATGCGGCGCCTCTTATGTGCCGGTGCAGCCGCGTTGCTGCTGCTGTCGCCTGCTGCGCTGCTGCTGCTGCTGTCGCTTGCTGCGCTGCTGTTGCTGCGGCGCGGCCGTCCCCGCGGGCGCTTCGCTGCGGCTGCCGAGGCATCCGCTTCTGCGCTGCTGCTGCTGCTGCTGCTGCGGCTGTTGCTGCGGCGAACGCCTTTGGGTCCTTCGTTTGCTGCTGCTGCTGCTGCATTTTCTGCACTTGCGGCCTCTTGAGCTGCTGCTGCGGAATCAGATGTCCCGTGCTCCTCAGTTTGCTGCTGTTCTGCTTCCTGTGACTGCTGCTCCTTCTTTTGCTGCTGCTCCTCCTTTTGCTGCTGCTGCTCTTGCTGCTGCTCGTCCGGCTGCTGCTGAGGGTGTTGCTGCTCCTGCTGCTCCTCTTTCGCGTGCTGCTGCTCCTCTTCTATGAGCGGCTGTTTGCTGAAGGGCTCTGCAGCAGCAGCAGCAGCAGCAGGCGCAGCAGCAGCAGGAGCAGCAGCAGCAAACTCAGCAGCATACTGCTCCTCGCTGAGAGTCTGGTCCCGAAGGAAGCAGCGAACGAAAGCAGCAAGAGTGCGGCTTTTGATGCTGCTACGGACTGCAGCAGCAAAAGCCAAGCAGCACTCCATGTTGTGCTGCTGCAGCAGCGCGGGGCCGTTCATCTCGTGCTGCAGCAGCAAATGGTGCAGGTAGCAGCGGCTGTCCCTAACGGCAGAAGCAAAGCCCAAAAAGCCGTCCTCTTCTTCCTGCTGCTCCTGCTGCAGCAGCAGCTGCTGCTGCTGCTGCGTCTCGTCTGTGTCCATGTCTTCTGCGTCTCCCGCGACTGAAGCCGCTGCTGCTGCTGCTGCTGCTGCTGCTGCTGCTGCTGCTGCGTCCGCGGGGGTCTTGCTGCTGCGGCTGGGGCGGCCATCTATGCAGCGCGTGTCTTCAGCATAACGCGGCGACAGCAAATTTAGCTGCCGGTGCATTTTGAGTTGCTGCTGCGGCCACTGCTCCAGCAGCAGCAGCGCAGCACGAGCGTCCTCCGCAGCCCCCTGCTGCTGCTGCTGCTGCTGTTCTGCTGCAGCAGCAGCGAGCTCCGCTGGCGAGGGAAGCCCAAAGCTCCAGGCCACTCCTGCTGCTGCGCTGCTGCCACTTGCTGCTGCACCTCCCTCCACAACATCTGCGCCCAGCAGCAGCGCATGCAGCAGCTCGAGGGGCCCTGCTTCTGCATGCACAGTCACTACCCGCAGCAGCGGCCGCTCGGGGCCTGCTGCTGCTGCTGCTGCAGTGAGCTGCTGCGCTGCCGCTGCCAGCAGCTGCCGCCGCTGCGCCAGCGGCCGCGCTGCTTCGCAGGCCCCGGAAAGCTGCACAGCCCCCAGGAGGCCCCTGGGAGCAGCAGCAGCAACTTGCTGCAGCGCAGCAGCAGCAGCACGAATAACATCTTTGTTTTCTGTACATTGCAGCTGCGCCACCACGTGCGGCACAACCACGCAGGGTACTCGCTGCTGCAGCAGCTGCTGCTGCAGCAGCAGCTGGTGCTGCCGCAGCGCGTAGACGGAGGGCGGGGCGCGCGGGCAGCAGGGCCCACTGCAGCGGCAGACCTCCTTGCTGCTGCTGCTGCTGCTGTTGCTGCTGTCTCTGCTGCAGCAGCAGCTCAGCCGCCGCTGCTGCTGCTGCGCCTCTTCGACCACTGCTGCAAGCAGCCCCACGAGGGCCTTCAGCGCCAGTGCAGCCGCCTTCCGCTGCGCCTTCCGCCCGTGCTGCTGCTGCTGCTGCTGCTGCTGCTGCTGCACGTGGTGGACGGGCGCAGTCAGCATGTGGCACTGCGACAGCGCAGCAAGCTGCGCCAGCTGCTGCAGCGACAAAGAAATGCGGCCAGCAGCAGAAAAGAGAGACACAGAAAGAGCAGCAGACAAAGCTTGTGGGGTCCCCTCGGCCCTGCAGCTCAAGTTCAGCAGCAAGTTTTCAAAGTCCGCCACGGGCTGCGGCGGCAGCACGCTGCTGCTGCTGCTGCTGCTGCTGCGGTCGCAGCGGCTGCTGCTGGGGCTGCTGCTGCTGGGGCTGTAGTCCAGAGACGGCGCCGTGCTGTCGGAGCCAGGGGTCTCTTCTGCTGCTGCTCGCTTCAGGCTGCAGGGGCAGTGCTGCTGCTGCTGCTGCTGCTGCTGCTCCCACGCCTGCCACCACGCGCTGAACAGCGGCAGCAGCACCGAGAAGTCCCCTGCTGCTGCAGCAAGCAGCACCGGCTGCTGCTGCAGCGCCCGCAGCTGAGGAGGCAGCAAATGCTGCGGCATGCAGCGCTCCATGCGAAGGCTGAACGTTGGAGTGTCTGTACACCCCAGCAGCAACCCTGTCCGGGGGGTCCACGGCAGGGCCTCTTCTGCTGCTGCTGCTGCTGCTGCTGCTGCTGGCGTTGCTGCTCCGCAGCTGTGAGTCAGGCGCAGCAGCGCGCCGACCTGTTTAAGGCCAGCGGACAGTGCCCTTGGAATGCTCCAAATGCCCCATTTCCTGTTGCTGCTGCTGCTGTTGCTGCTGCCGCAACTGCTGCTGCTGCTGCCAGCAAGCTGCTGCGCCGCTTCGCCACGGCCCACCGCGAGCGCGTCCTCCGCTGCTGCTGCTGCCTCAAACAGCGGCTGCCGCTGCAGCAGCAGCTGCTGCAGCCCCTCCGTTATCGGCAGCTGCTGCAGCAGCTCCAAATCCCTCTGCTGCAGCAGCGGGCCGTTCCCTGCTGCGATGGCAGCAATTTCAGCGGCAGCTTGCCGCTGCAAGGCCTGTTCTTGATTATCTGCTGCTGCTGCTGCAGCAGCAGGGGTTTCGAGCTGCGGCTGAGCCATGAGACTGGGAGATAGCAGAAGGGGATCGGCGCGGCTGCGGCTGCTGCTGCGGCTGCTGCTGCGGCTGCTGCTGCAGCGTTCCTGCTGCTGCTGCTTCGGCTCCCTCAGCTTCTACTTTGGCCTCTGCTGGCCGCCAATGGCAATGAAGCGACAAGGAAATGTGTGGGGCTGGGGGGTGGGGAACAGGGGCGGTTGCTGCGGGGATCGGTAGGAGGCGTCCAGCTGCTGCTGCTGCTGCTGCTGCTGCTTGTGGTGCTGCCGCTGAACGTGTCTCCCGAAGTTCAAATAAAAAACAAAAGCAAGCCAAAACACATCGCGGTTGGAAGCTCGTTGGCGCCTGGGGGCCCCACGGCCCCCATTGAGGCAGCAGCAGCAGCAGCAGCAGCAGCAGCTTCGGCTGCTGCAGCTCGATCCACAGTCCCTGCAATGTGCCCATCTGTCTTCCTTCCTGTTTGCCCAGCCCATGAGGCTTTTTAAGAGGGTCTGGAGTAAGCCGGTGTATTGCAATTTAGAAGCTGTGTGCAGCAGCAGCAGCAACAGCAGCAGCAGCTCGGCCAGTCGACCTGCTGGTGCTGACACACAGAGAGGAGCCTCCAGGGCCCCCCATTAGCCATGGGCTCGCATGCAGATGAGGCCCTGCAGCAGCAGGCTGAGGACGCTGAGCTGGAGCTGCTGCGGGAGCAGCAAGATCTGCTGCGGCGGATTCTGCAGCAGCAGCAGCAGCAGCAAGAAGCCCAGCAGCAGAAGCAACAGCAGCAGCAGGGAGACCAGCAGCAGCAGCTGGACCCAAACGAGCAGCAGCAGCAAATCGTCTCCTCAGCAGGAGCCCTCCAGTGCGTGCTGCCAGCCTCCACGCGCTGGCACTGCAGCAGCAGCTGCAGCAGCAGCCCCTTAACAGGGGACTGCCTCTTAGTAACAAAGTCTCTGCTGCTGCTGCTGCAGCTGCGCTCTGGCTCTCCGCTGTCGCTGCTGGACTGCGGCACCAAGGCCAAGCCTCTGGCAGTCTCATGGGCTTTAACGGCAGCAGCAGCTGCTGCTGCTGCTAGCCCAGCCACCAGCAGCAGCAGCAACAGCAGCAGCAGCAGCAGCAGCGGGATACGGCAAAAGAAGGTCTGCCCCACGTTTGAGATCCTAGGCTCTCTCTTCTTCAGCGCCCATGGAGACCGCACGGTGCGGCTGTGGCGGCTGCAGCAGCAGCAAATCGAGCTGCTGCAAGTCAGCTGTCAGCAGCAGCAACAGCAGCAGCAGCAGCAGCAGCGTATATCTGGGCAGATGCCCCGTGCTGCTGCAGTCTCGTCGCACCGGCAGCACGTGGGGGACCCTGAGGCATTGGCAGCTTGCTGCGGGTGTCTGCAGCCTGCCTGCTGCACCCCCGCAGCAGCAGCAGCAGCAACAACAGCAGCAGCAGAGAGCCGCCTGTGGCTGCTGTGCGTGAGTGGAGACGCAAAAGGCAAAATTGTCATTTGGAAGCAAGAGGGGCCCCCGTCTTCCTTCAGGGGCCTCCAGGGGGCCCCCAAGCCGCATGCAGAAGCAGCAGCAATGCAGCCGCTGCAGGAAAAGATAGTGGAGTTGGCGCTGCTGTGGGCACGAGGCAGCTGCTGCAGCAGCAGCGGCAGCTGCTGCGCTGCCCGCCCTCCCTGGCTGTGTCGCGCGGCCTACCCTGCTGCTGCTCCCGCTGCTGCTGCTGCGGCTGCTGCTGCTGCACCGTCTCCCAGCAGCAAAGAACCCATGGGCAGCTGTGCAGAAACAGCGCAGCGTGAGGCCACAGACGATGAGCAGGAACCAGGGGAGATAAGAGGCCCCTCTAGCAGCAGCAGCAGCAGCAGCAGCAGCAG